AATTTTTTTTTTGTATGGATAGGTTCTTGCTTTATTGTCCAGGCTGGTCTCAAATTCCTGGCCTCAAGCAGTCCTCCTGCCTTGGCCTCCCAAAGTGCTGGGATTGCAGGAGTGAGCCACTGTTCCTGGCCTGTATGTGTTTTCTCAGTGGGTTTTAGACACAGTGTTGAGGATAAGATGGATACGGTAGCTTTTTTTCTATTTCTCAATTCCTATACCTGAGATAAATTCAGTGTGTTTTTAGGCCGGGTGCAGTTGCTCACGCCTGTAATCCTAGCACTTTGGGAGGCCAAGGTGGGCGAATCACAAGATCAAGAGATCAAGACCATCCTGGCTAACATGGTGAAACCCCATCTCTACTAAAAATACAAAAAAAATTAGCCGGGCATGGTGGCATGTGCCTGTAATCCCAGCTACTCAGGAGGCTGAGGCAGGAGAATCGCTTGAATCTGGGAGGCAGAGGTTGCAGTCAGCCAAATTGTGCCACTGCACTCCAGCCTGGGCAACAGAGTGAGACTAGTTCTCAAAAAAAATTTTTTTAAATTCAGTGTGTTTTTAAAAGCCTCGATTTAAGATGTTATTTGTTTCAGGTCATTACATTAGTGATGTGTATGACATTAAGAAGCAAGCGTGGTTTACTTACAATGACCTGGAGGTATCAAAAATCCAAGAGGCTGCTGTGCAGAGTGATCGAGATCGGAGTGGTTACATCTTCTTTTATATGCACAAGTAAGAAACTTTGTCAGATTTGAAATAATGAGTTAAAAATCACCTGAACTCTTTTTTTTTTCCTTTGAGGATAAAATCTTCCCATCAGTTGACGGTTGACAATTTTTGGTTTTTGTTATCTTTGGTTAGGGTCCATCTCTTGATATTTCCTTGAAAGTCTAGAATATTTTCTTTCATAACTCAGCCTTAATTGCTCATTACACAGTAGTATCTAGGTATGGAAGTTAAGACAGTTTGTTTTATGATAGAAGATGTCCTATCATAAGTCTTTTCAGTCATCCAGTTTTATCAGCTAGAAAATCTGATTTATATGGATGGGAATTACATAGCATGTTCATTAAAGCCAGCTGTTGTCAGTTCCCCTCTCTTCTCAAAAATGAGCATTCAAAGGGTTAAGATGAAATGAGTGAGCCGCTTATTTAATAAAGTACAGGCATGAAGTGGAATATAAAGGCTTTATCTGTATCAGTTTTACTTTTTCTCCTGCCTGTTCTTTGGTTCTGCTTACTAAATTTCCTGTTTTATTTTTTGCTTATTTTATTTTAAGGGAGATCTTTGATGAGCTGCTGGAAACAGAAAAGAACTCTCAGACACTTAGCATGGAAGTGGGGAAGACTACCCGTCAGGCCTTGTGAGGAACAAACTTCTGGGTTGTCAGTGTGCACTGCATATTTTTTCTTAATGCTGCCCACCTCACCTTTCCTCTGCTGAAGGAGAATTTGGAATTCTACTTGATGCGGGAGCAACAAACAGCTCAGGGCCAAACCAAAAGACAAAAATTGGAGTTACGAAGAATGCTCCATGCTATTTTATGGAAACTTTGGTCTCACATCTGTAGCTGATTATCCTTTTTCTCCTATAAGAGTGGCACTTCCTTTTGTCTTAGGAGCACATGTTGTAAATATATATGTCTGTGTGTGTACACACACACGCACGCGCGCGCACACACACACACACACACACACACACACACACACACACACACACAGGATGAGTGGAGCCTTAAAGAGTTAGGATGAGCCACCAGAATATGCCTGTTCAAAATTAATAGCACAGCAGTTTGGAGAAGAAATGGAGGTATCAGAGAGTCCATTCACCTGAGAAATGTGTAAAGGTATGCTTATCAGTTGGCTTTTAGCTTTTATGTTCCTTGAGTAGTTTCACTCAAGTCTATAACCTTTTGTGTGTGTTTGCTTATTAGTAAAGTTCACTGGAAAGCTAGCTCTTCATGTTACACTAATGACAAGTTTGTTCTCTTTGCAAGAGAGGGGCATTGCTGTCACCTGACTTGAGGAGCTGTTTTTTATTGTTGTCATTGTTGTTTGCGAATTTCATGAATTTGTGATGTCTTTGCTGTTTACATGCAGTCCCAAGAAATGGATTGTTGGTGCTTTGGAATGTGTTATAGTCCCACATTTGATACTCCTTGTATACTTTGTGTTTTCTCTAAGGAAATTTCACACAGTATGTTCATCATATATCATCATTATTATGGTGGTGAAGATAGACTCTTTTTTATTTTTTGTCATCCTTCCATCGAGCAGCATTACCCTAATGGATTGCAACCAAAACTTTAAACAGGTGGAAAGATAATATTTCTGCAATTGGGATGCCCCAGCAGGAATACTTAGGTATAAGGAAGAATGCTAGCATCTCTCTCTCTCAGACATAAGGAGGATAAGAAGAGTGTTCCTCTGGTAAACTAAAATTCTGGACCACTGAAGCTAAAAATCCTATTGCAAGTGTGAAATTAAGTACTTGAGCTATAGGAAAACCTTGATCATTTAACCAGTTACTGTCTGGCTTTGCCCTTAAAATAGGGTCGCAATTAAAATGTGATTGGCTTAGGTAATCCCAAGAACTAACAAATAACAAAAGGTGCATAATTTATTTATCTACTTTTTAGGTGCTCAAGTTGAGGCAAAGTAGAGCGGCAACATTAAGCGCTATGCTAGTCACTTAGCTGACATAACCAGCTTGGTTAAGCAGCTTATGGAACTATATAAAGAATTATTTTAAGGATGGAATTCTGTCCATAAGATAATTTTATAAGCCCAGATATCATTAGGATCGCAGAGTTAAGCATAGCAAAATGAAACCTTCATTGTTTACTTTCATGTTTTTTCTTTTGTTATAAACAAGGGGATTATTCTTTAGTTCCCAGAGTTAGGGACAAAACCACATCGGCTTTTCAGAAGGACAAAAGCATTTAAAAACCCACCATCACATGAGAGAATTGCTTGAACCCAGGAGGAAGAAGTTGAAGTGAGCCGATATCGCACCATTGCACTCCAGCCTGGGTGGCAGAGTGAGACTCCATTTAACAAAAAAAAAAACACCACCATCACAGAAGGTGCACCATCTATTCTGAAAGATTGTCTTAAGAGAGCTCCAGCCCTACTCTTGAAACTTGGATATATTCTCACATAGTAACCTATTCTAAATTTTTATTCTTTGAATTATAAATGGCCTCAGCAGTTTTGCTTAACTACTGATAAATGCTTTGTCTCCTACCATCTACCTATATACATTATTGTGATGAATGTTCCAAAACGGTAGAGTGGTAGAAAATGCCCGAGGTGTTTAGAGCAGAGGAAAATATTTGTTTTAAAACTGGCTTTAAAATTTTGTTTCATTTCTACCAGGAGCCTCTTTTGGTTTGGTTTGGTTTGCTTTTGCTTGAAAATAACTGGTTTTCTCATAAATGAGTGAAGTGTTGATAAAATTCTTTGGCTTGTTACTAATTCTCTTACCTGTCTTTGCATTTGAGAGGCACTGTTAAAAATTATTGGGAAAGATTTAAAGTAAGGGCTGCATTAAAACATGGAGAAAAATAGAAATATGCTGTAAGTCTAGATTGCCTCATGAAGCAGCCTCATTTGAATTGCTTTCATAGCTTTCATGTGTGTATGGTTTAGAAATCCACTTACCTCAGAAACCTGATTTGATCTTCATGTCTTGGGCAGGAGTTGTTGAAAATAGGTTATTGGAGTATGTGAGTTATCTCACTGCTCATGTACTTGCATGTTTGGGACTCAAATTTTACTTGATTCTGTCCATTCTTGTAGCCCTTCTCCTTTTTTTACTCCTTTAATTTACTTCTTTGACCACCAGTGGAGATTTCAGCTGGACTATGTTGATGGGGTTTGTTGTTTTTTTTGAGCTGGCTGTATATATTTTAAAATTATAAATAGATAATATATTATTTTTTTGCACAGTGTGATCAGTTTGCCCATTATTGGAGGATGGGGCAGTTAGCATGTTGGGGCCAGGAAGGGACAAGTTAGATAAGGACTGAGTGCTTCCGTTGCAGGCAGTTTGCACAATACCTAATTCACCTTCCTATTGAGAATACCAAATGTGTGGTTATATTACTTTAAATGACATTGAATTGGAACTTGATAGCAGTTAGTTCTAGATACAATCTTTTGATCTTTGTTGGAATTTTAAAGGAAAAATAAACTGAATTTCATATTTGATTTTAATCCCCTAATATTACTGAAGGTTGGAAAGTTGCACGTGGCTGGATGCTGTTAATTTCTTTAATAGCCATGACTATAATTTAGGCCTATGAGAAGATTAGTCTGTTTCATAGGGATATACCATATGTGTGTGCACACTCATGAGTTTTGTCTCAGCAGGATATAATAAGCACATCCATGAATTGATCTTCTATTAATACTTTGATTCCAAAAGTTTTGTTTACTTGCTGTGGCCTGTTCATTCTGGGCCTAACTTAAAAGGCTCAATAACAAATATAACAAATGTAAATGTGTTTACATTTTAAGACATAATGCAGTGGTACTTACAGATCAGTCAGTTAACTACAGAAAGCAAATGTTAGACCACACATTTGTTTTCTCCTTGATCAAGTGTAAAATTCTGAAACAGAGGCTTTAAAATTTAAAACCTCAGCAAAATAATCCATGAATTTATTTTTCCACATCGTGTATAGTTACTGTTATTTAACTGTACACGTGTACAGCTACGGATATAGTTGTATAATGAAAATTATCTGCAAACACCTAAAGAGAAAAAAAGTAGTTTGTAAACTCACTTGTAAGCTACTAAAAAGAAGTTATATTAAAGCAAATAAAAATATTATCCTTCTTTGCCCTCTGAAATGACTGTAGTGGATACTCTCCCATTTTGGGGGTGCGGGGGGACCTTTTTAACTTAATTGACCCCCCCCCCAGGTGGTCTTTTGTTTTAAATGGGGGAAACAGAGCTGGATCTCCAAGTACATGTGGATTTTTTGTATGTATAGGAGATTTTTTGGGAAAATCAACAACCCAACACCAGATGCAAGACACATAAAGGTGTTCCAATAAAATGGATAGATGTCTTTTTCCTCCCCATTTTGCTTTATACTGGGTAATGCACTCTTACAAGTATATACTAAATTAAATAGACTTCTGCCCTCTAAAGTCTTTTTTCTTGCATTACTTCAAAATTCTAATTTTGTCTCTATTGATATGTCTTATTAACATCTGAAAAATTTTATTTTATTGGAAAACTCTAGTTTGTTAGGCCTTGAGAGTTTTGTGACAATTATTTTGCTGTGTTTCACCACAATCATTCACCTTATGGCATGCTTTGATTACTAGACTTGAGGCAGTCTCATTCATTGTATCGTACTTATATACAATTAGTAAGTTGTTTCCATGTGTGCTATAAGTCTGAGGTGTATAGAGTTTTTATTAAAAAGTGTGCCAGTCTGAATGTAAGCATTCGATTTTGTAACATTGGACTTTTCTTAAAAGTACAGAGGTTCAAAGTATAGATATATCTATTGGCATAAGAATAGAGTGGGTGAGGGTCTGGACCAGGATACAGGTTTGCCTGGTCAGATGCCAGAACAAAGAAGAGCAGTCAACTAAACTGGTCTGTTTCAAAAATAGTGGGCCTGTGTGAAGAGTGAGACCACATGTGAATGTGCACACCTCTTGTCCCCAGGTTTCCCTCCCTCTGAGCTTTTCCCTCCCTCCCTAACTTCTCTGGCCTATTGTCAATGCTGTTTCTTTATACTTAAAGAGAGAAAAACAATGAGATTCCTACACTTTGCCTAATTGAGCCACTACCAGGCTTTCTGGCAGCTGTGGCCACATTATTTGTGAGGTGATTTTTTTTCTTTATGTTCAGAGTGACTTTTGATTCTGATTCTTTATGTTTTGTATGGAGCGGCACTTTTATCTGTGTTTTAGCAGAACTGTTCCTCTGTATCCTTTACGGTTTTTCCTTGTTTTTGTTTCCTTTTTAAATTATGCATAGAGTTTTTTTGTGTGTACGAAATTAAAGCCTTTATTAACCTTCTGTTGATTGGACTGTTATTTCTGAAAAGGACACATTCTTGCCGATACTCATAACAACCCATTCAAAGTTGAGGAAATCGCCTTCTGTTGGCTTTCTGACTTGGAATTCCTTGCAGCACTGTTACTTCTTAAAGGGAACAGAATGGCAAACCAGTGTTCGGCCTAGTCACCACTGATTCCTGTTATTTTCATCTGAGGAGTCTGTGAAGCTTTGCACAGGCTTTTGGGTAAGTTTGTAAACCTAGAATCAACCTTCACTAGGCTTTTCCTTTGCCTTATTATTAAGGGTTGGGAGGAGTGAAAAGCATTTGCATTTTATACTTGCCTTTAGGTCTCAAGCTTAGCCCCAGTGGATGTGCTACTCTCACTGGGTACTGTTTGGCATTTGTGAAACTTCCTAAGAGGGCAGTCTTGTGGCCCATTCAACTCTCCTTCAACCCTCTAACTTACTCACTGAATAAGGCAGTAAGGAAAGTATATGTGAAAAGGAAAAGCTGTTACTCTGGGGACGTTGTAAACCTGCAAAATGCTTCAGCTTACCTTCCGTAGATAAAAATGAGTCATGATAGAGGACAAGCTAGGTAGTGTCTCAGAACTCTAACGTTACATGGAGTGTTTCCCTGCTCTTCTAAGAAGAGAAAGCTCTAGAGTAGGAGTATTAAAAATGATGCAACATCTCAGGATAGAAACAACCTAGTGACCTTCCTAGAAGTTGAAATGAGGACCACAGGCTCCTTTTGGGATATCATGTTTCTGAAGGAATAGGTAAATTACTAAACAAAAGTGGCATTTGCCCATAGAAGTTTGTGCTCATAGGCACAACTGTAAAATTTCACTTCAATTGGTGTAGGACTAATACCGGTGATAAAACCCCACAATTACGGTAGGGTGCTGCTTTACAACCACAGCCACTCTTCTCAAAATAGTCCTTTTTCTTTCTTAAGGTTTTGTTGCTTCCATCGAGGCAGAGCAGAGAAGGCAGTTGGAGTCATCCCAAAAGCCTGAGTGAAATCTTCAATGGACAGGTGTTCCTAGAAGAGGAGAGGGCCCAGAGGGCAAAGGTCACGTATCCTTCCCTCCTCCCTCCTCCCTCACTCCCAGGCCCTGTTTGCTCTGATGAGTCATACAGATGTGGCATATAATCAAATAAATGCAGAGTAAAAACAATGTCAGGAGAGCCAGGAAAGGGATGCAGAGGAGGCAGCTATAGTATTTTGGTATTCCAGAGGTTTGATCCTGATTTTTTTTTTTTTTTTTTTTTTTTTTTTTTTTTTTTTTTTTTTTTTTTTTTTTTTTTTTTTTTTTTTTGAGACCATGTCTTGCTCTGTTGCCCAGGCTGGTGTGCAGTGGCACAAACTCAGCTCACTGCAACCTCCACCTCCCAGTTTCAAGAGATTCTCCTGTCTCAGCCTGGAGGCCAAGTAGCTGGGATTACATGCACGCGCCACCATGCCCGGCTAGTTTTTGTATTTTTAGTAGAGATGGGGTTTTACCATGTTGGCCAGGCTGGTCTTGAACTTCTGTCCTAAAGTGATCCACCCACCTTGGCCTCCCAAAGTACTGGGATTACCGGCATGAACCACCACGCCCAGTCTGATCTCTGAATTTTTAACAATGAAAAGATAGCAGTGTGGTAGATTGAGTTTTTTTCTACTAGGGTCAAGTTCACATTGGCCCAAATAAGAATTAGGACTCTTTCTAAGCCTTAGTTTTCCTGTCTATTAAATGGGAAACGTTTCTTTCTTTCTTTCTTTTTTCAGACAGAGTCTCGCTCTATTCCCCGGGCTGGAGTGCAGTGGTGCAAAATCTCAGCTCACTACAACCTCCGCCTCCCAAGATCACACCACGGTACTCCAGCCTGGGCAACAGAGTGAGACTCTGCCAAAAAAAAAAAAAAAAAAAAAAAAATAAAAAAAAAAAAAAAAAAAAAAAAAAAAAAACCTCATCAGTTTTTTATATTCTTCTGTGAATGTGTCAGATTATTTTGTAGGAGCAGGTTTTGCTTAGAGAGTGGGAGGGTAGCAGCAGAAGGTACAACTGAGGTTGGGGGAAGGAGTCCAAGAGAAGACACTAGGAAGGCCAAAGGACAAATTCCAAACTAAATGTTGCCTAGCTATTTGAGCAGAAAAAATATTTGGATAAACAACTTGTACCAGCTTCTCTCATCCTGTGAGTGATCCAGAAGATTAGATAGCAGTTTTACCTTTTTACTCTTGGCTTGGAAATCACAACTGGGAGTCACTACCTTTCTAAGCCTTGGTGGTCTTCAGCCATAAGATGAAGAAATTCATTGAAATGAACTTTGTTCCCAGCACTAAGATGATAGGATAATGATGCTGTTTAAGGCAAGCTAAATACCCTCAAGTCACATTCAATTAAGAGTCCCACATTAAAGTTGCTATAAAACAGCATCTCCCAGCCTTCATCTCTGCTCCCCCAAGCACCAAGAGGTGGACGGTAGAGGTGAGACGTGAGGGTTTCCTTTAATACTTCAGCTGCTCTGCTAAGATGATGTTGGCCTAGGGAATATTTTATTGACTCCCACAGAGAGCCCTGAATTGAACAGCTTCTTAGTAAACACCTATAGATGGATTTCAAGCTCAGGGGGGTCTGATGCTCCAGTTCTCTAACCTGTCATTAGATTTGCCTCTCACCCTGGGCATTCTCTCCTTAAGATTCCTGGAAGCCTTCCTCACTCCCCGAGGCAGGGCAGTAGAATGCCTGGTTTTGGTTTGGGGGTTCATTTTGTTTTGGGGGGGTTTTGAGACAGGGTCCTGCTCTGTTACCCAGGCTGGAGTGTGGTGACATGATCACAGATCACCTGCAGCCCCAGTCTCCTGGGCTCAAGCAGTCTTCCCAGCTCAGCCTCCTGGGTAGCTGGGACTATAGACACACGCCACCAGACGCAGCTAATTTTTGTATGTTTTTGTAGACAGTGTCTCACTTTGTTTCCCAGGCTGGTCTCAAACTCCTGGGCTCAAGCAAAGCAATCTGCCTGCTTTGGCCTCCCAAAGTGCTGGGATTACAGTCATAAGCCACCGCATTCAGCGAGGGGTTGGTTTTGGAAGGAGAGAGTAAATTTGAATGATTTGGACATGAGTGGATGGGGAAGAGCTGCCATACCCCAAATCTTTTTTTCTTTCTTTTCTTTTTTTTTTTTTTTTT